GAAAAAACTCAAACACTTATTTTTACGAAAAAAACTTCACTACCTGGAAATATTCATCTGCTAGGGTTTCATATGGATAGTACAATGACATGTATTCAACATATAGATCACCTTTCAAAGAACTAACATCAGCTATTTATTCAATTAGAAGAATAAGTTTTATCGTGGACAAATATCTCGCAATACTTATGTACCTATTTTCATAGCATCTCCATATATGGTATTATACTCTGGGATAGGTACATGTTCAGAATCATACAGAATATTTTTACAACAAAAAAGGGCTATTAGTGCAATAATCAGAGCACCGCCAACAACAAGCTATAGAGAACTATTAAAAACCTTTAAAATACTTACAATTTCAAGCTGCTCCATACTTATCTGTCTGTGCTACATACTCGTACACCAAAATCAGACCAACTACTTACAGGCACAAATTCGCAATTATGAAACTAGAAATAGAGACAAAATGGTTCTACCTAAATGTCGTTTGCAGAAATCTCAGAACAATTTTGTATATTTGAGAATGCAACTATTAAATAAGGTTCCAGAAGAGATCAGAAAGATGGACACCATATATATACAGGGTGTCCCAGAACTCGCGCCACAGAGAAAAAGGGGGCGTGCCGATAGCAATGGAGATGCCAAATTTAAAAATAAAAAATTTCTAGGTAATAGTGTAATCGAATGAGAGCAAAAAAGCGGCAGCCAATACCGAGAGCTCTCGCCTAGGTTAAACGTAAGAGCTTTAAAAATTGCTAGGAGACGATAGAACATTGTTCTATTAAAAACATTTAAAAATCTTTTGGCCAACTGTATTTACTAAGTTGTCAAAAGCTTTCAAAAATTAGGTTATTAATCTATGACTTATACTTCAGAACGCCAATGTTTTAAAATAACGGTTAGGAAAGGGCTGGGAAAAAACTCGCGTTGTCTCCCTGGCGTTGCGCCCACACTAAATAAATAAATAATTATCATTTCAGTATAAGGGTAAAAATCAAAAAATGTTTAGGTAGGCGTCTTTGGCTAATTAAAAATTAGAAAAAGAAGTGAAGTGTCTCAAAACTTATTAGTATTATTTCTGCATGTTAATTATACGAGATTTATATTAAATATTTACCCAGATTTAAAAACATCGATTAAAAAGAAAAACAAAGAGCTATTTTGTCTCGTCGGTAACGCGTCCCTTATTACGTTTTACAATTTTACGCTAGATTTTTCAATCAAATCATTTTTAAAAACAGGACAAATGTAAATCACTTTAAAGAAACTAACACCAAGTATTAAATAAATTACATTTTATTTAAAAACAATTTGGTTTTAAAGATCCAGCCTTTGGGTAACAGACTGTCTGCTTTGATCGCATCCTGTCGGTAACGATAACTGTAATTTCGCCTAAAATCCGCCAGGATACGTAATACCTATCATTTGTTGGTTAGTGTGCTAGAGTTAGTGTTTATGTGTCATTCAAACCAGGTAAGTTTTTCTGTTTATGCATTAAAAAAATATATTTAGGCTTGTTTGCATAAAAACGCTACCGTATTTTTTTACGATGTCTAATCGGTAACTGTTCTAGCGGTAAAATTTTGATGTCGATATGAGATTTGTTACATTTTTCTGATGTATAACACCAATATTTGCAATTTTCATTATAATGGTATTTACTATAAGTATTTTTTTAAACATATATTTTGATTATTATTCCATTTACAGAACCTTTATTCCCGACAAACTATACTGTTACCGACTAGACATAATTGAGATCAGAAGACAACAATTATCAACATAACAAAAAACTACCTTTCCTTGATCTCAAAGATAAGCTTTATTATGTTGCGAAATCTTTATTTTAGAATATTAAAAAGTTTAATGGACAAAAAGCAACATTTTAGTTTTTTAATTGTTGTAGGTCGTTTTCCAAAGATTTTTTGATTTTCACCCATAATCATCTAAGGAAAACATTATTTATAATAACTTAATTTATAACCTATATAATATTAATGACAGGAGTTTGACAGCAGTGTCACAATGAATTGGATTCCAGTGGACCAAATATTTTACATATTTTTTATTATCAACAATGCAACCTAAGTATCCTAGCAATTTAAAGAATTCCCTATGGCCATCTATTGGGATTGGCTATCGTTTTTTATTCTTATCTCGCTTATCCTTTGCGTTAGACAATTTTAATTTTCAAATATGTGTTTCACATTTTCGGCACGTTCCGGTTTTCTATGTGGCGCGAGTTCTGGGACACCCTGTATATATATATATATATATATATATAGCTCAGCAACCATTATTATTAATTTTCAACATTTAGTTCATTGACCAAGGAATCTATTAATTAATTAAAACTTAATAATAATAATAATTGTCTAAGGACTCTAATATTTAATTAAAACTTACACCCCATAGATTGTATCTCAGATAGAACCAATATGTAGACATATATTATCCGCTATAATATTTTTAAATTAATGAACTTTTAATAATTCAGTTTCCTATAGAATTTTACACCCTTCTCAAATCTTTCCTTTTCCATTTTCCATCACCCCCTGTCACATGTTAATACTTATTTTTAGAATACAGATTTAGGTACCGAAAAGAACTTTTACCAAAGTTAAAGTTAAGTTGAATGGGAGTTGTTTCATAAAAAGATGTTTGATTTAAAGGTTTTGTTGAAGTTTATTCTAAATTTATTTCCAAGATTCCCGCAAAGATAAAATACCAAAAAATAAGCTTTTTATGTAAGTTCAAGAACAATATTTTAACGTATCTTTACTAATACTGAGTACCTAATATTATGAGATATAAGTAGGTATATTATTATACCAGAGATAATGCAGGCTATTATTCACGAGGAGGAGGTTTGCTTCTCAAGTCGCCAGACGAGTGAATAATGCGCATAATCTCGAATGAAATACTCCAATAAGTAGATAATAAAATGATTTTCAAAAATAAATAAAAAAATCTGACATCTGTTAAATGGTTAACCTGACCTTTTACCAATTTTTAATGTTATTATAGTCGCCTTATTCACGTAAAAAAACCCAATATTATGCAATAGAAGTAAATAATAGTATATTATGCATCAAGTTTTGATAAACTTTTAGTCAAGAATTTTAATTAGGCACGAGCGAGGTTGCGAGTGAGTGTTTAATTAAATGAGTGGGTAGAAAAGTTTATAAACGTGTTGCATACTATACTTTTTCTACGACAAATACTTATTATTTAAAAAAATGATTTAAATTAAATATTTGTATAGACCGACATCTATACAAAAATAGAGTAACCGTAAGAATGGGAATCTGTGTGTCAGTGGCAAATGTCAAATTTTTCTGTGTAAATCAAAATGTATCCCTTGAAAATGGACTAACAACCGTTTAAATCCGATATAGAAGCAGTTTTTACAGTTAAAGTAAAGATAATGTTTTGCGCTAAGAAACTATTTAATACTTTTGTATTGAGATAATAAAATAATGTTCACATTTAGTATTATTTTACAAGGGCACTTTATTTAAACAATTGTATGAAATATGTCAACTAACTCCAGCCCGTGACTTAAAACCTGTTGCAAACTTCAGCCTGTGACTAAAACGCCATTAAGCTAAAACTTGTCAATGTGTATTTAAAAGGTTACTTAGTGTCATGAAAACATGTATGATAATTGACGTTTTAAAGGTGGGAGTAGAAAAATATACTATACCTGGTGAGTTACAAGGGGATATTTTGAAAACTGAGTAAAAATCTGTAAAATTTTTGTAAACTAATAGAGGTGGGGGCAAATTTAAACATATTTTTGACATCTAATTGTGTGCAAATTGTTTTGCGCTTTCGCTTACGGAATTATAAATATAAATTATAAAATACTAAAAAATAATTTAAATTTATTTATAAAGTGTACGAAAATCATTTAGAAAAATATTGAGAACGTGTTTGGATGTTTAATGAAGTTAAAGAATTTCTTGATAAATAATAAATCATAATTCAGTAACCAAAAGAAATCAAAAATTTTTTTGCACACAGGCTTATCTAGTTTTTTTCGTAGATTCGAATTTAAAATAAGTATATGTATTATCCCTATTAAAAATCCATAGTTACCCCCCTCAAAATAGGGAAAGGCTTATCTAGTTTTTTTCGTAGATTCGAATTTAAAATAAGTATATGTATTATCCATATTAAAAATCAATAGTTACCCCCCTCAAAATAGGGAAAGGAGGCAGTGGCGGCGGGTGGATTTTGGGTATACCAATATTTCAGTTATTAGACATGGGACCCACACCAAATTTAGTATATAATGACATTAAATAGACAAGTTCGGCGCAAACAGAATTTAAATTGAAGTTTGCGAAAAACAGTTAGTTTTTCTTGTCGCCTCACCCGCCTCCAGGCCCCCCTATTTAAGATAATTCAAATTAAAGTGGTGAAATTTATTATCTACTATAATTTATAGACAAATTTAAAATTTTATTTAAAAAATCCAAATATTACTGGTTTATATAATTATAAATTTAAAATTAATTTTAAATATTTTTTTATTTTAATAGGGTACCTACCTCCCTAATAATTTTTAAAAACTTAATTTAGATAATTTTTAATACACATTTTTAAATACAAAATGGTTTACGAAGAATAGTTTTCTTATCTAAGTAGCATAACCAATAATAAATTAACACTTGCAAAATGAGTACCTATTTTTAATAATTAACATGTTTTAAAATAGTAAATAGTTAAATATTCATCCATTTATTTTATCTCATTAAATCAGCAACATTAGCAATTGAAGTTATTACTTATGAGACAGACTTTTTTTATCAATTAAACTTTGATTTTATTTTGTTTATTCTTTGGAACGATGTAACATGTTAATGGCCCTGGCCATATGGTTTATAAATTTATTTTGTAATTTTGTTTAAACAAAATTTAAAAAAAAACAAATCCATTTATACATTAATTAGAGATTTAAAGGTTATAATTTAATAATTTTTTTGTTTTAGATGTCTGCCATAGCATTATTGATCCTTATTGTACTAGCTTTAATTACAGTTGTTTATGGTTTTGGATGTAGGGGAAGAGTTATGTTAAGTAAGTATATGTAAAACTTATAATATTATCGTATTTACGAATTACGAATGTAAATATCAAATCTTAAAAATTTCTAATATATTAGAAATTTTATATATAAACTATGCATAAAAATAACCAAATTTTACCATTTTTAAATTGTAAATTAATTTTCTATCTCGTTATGTTGTTGAACATTTCATGTTGATATATAAATGTAAAGAGGTCGCTCAAGTGGTCCACAAATCTCGACACGCTAAAAATGGTAAAAATTAACCCACAACCCTCCCTTGTGACAGAATGCCCCCATATGATGAATTATCGAACCATTTTTTTTATTATTGTTTTGTATTTCTAAATTAGGGTTGCCATCTCCAACATTTTAAAACCAGGACATTTAAAAACAGTAGTTAAAAGTAATATCAATCAACAGCAATGAGCAATAAAAACAGAATCAATGAAACTCAGCTAAAACCAATAACAATTTTATGCAGTCTATAAATTAAAGTTTATTTTCATCAATACTTAATACTGAAGTGATTAATTATGGCATAGAGACATTAAAATCAGTAAACAGATACATTGATTTCATTATTCACTGTGATTTGAACCAATAGGGTTTTAAATTGGAAAACAACAAATAAAATTGGCTTTAAATTCTGAAAAACTTAAAATCTTAAATGATAATTTATCCTTATAAGGAAGATCTGATCTCATATTTAACAAATTCATGAAAAATAATTTAAGAAAAAGTTTGTAGTAACAAAAATAAGGATAAGGAAAATAATGAGGGGGCAGGGCCGGCCCGACGTATTTTGCCGCTCCGGGCGAAGATATTTTTGCCGCCCCCTTTTTATTCAGCAGGAATAGGAAAAAAAGTAGTTTAACGTAATTATTTTTTCAGTTTTTTAAATTTTTTATAAGAGTTTTTTATGCATTAGAATTACTAGGTAAGGCAATATACTGTTAAATATATATACATAATTGCATCACTTGTCAATTATATAATGATATAATCCCATATATTAATATATACTATAATAGTGTCACTATTATAGTAAGTATAATTAAACAATATTTTTAAATTACAAAAATTCTTTGGTTTCTTAAAATTTACTATTGCAATATTCCGCTATAACTTAGATTATTACATAATTGCTGTTAAAATATCGTATTTTTAACATAAAAGTATACAGGCCGAGTGCACCCGAACATTTTAAGTAACTTATAATAGTCCGGGAGGCAGTGAAGATTTTCGGTACTTATTTTCCCAGTCGGCAAACACCGATACAATTATTGGGTTTGTTATTCTGAGCAAAATTTATATATATTTAGGGGGGGGGTTTCCGATGGGTTAAGGCGGAAAATGCGTTATAAAGTACAAATATATTGCACTTTTTATTCCAGTGATAAAAATAATTCCATTAGTGAGAGATATAGTGAACTTAAGAAAAAAAATAGTCTGGCTAATCTGTGAGTATGGGTAATATGTCTGGCAGGTGGAAAAATTATCAAAACCATTGCCCTTATTTTCGCAGTTCTAAAAATTTTGTGAGATGATACTTTATATTATAATTACAGCTGCCAATATAGTCTTGCTAATGTGGAACACTCCGAAAGCCTTGTCAGACTCGTCCAACCCTCCACAGGCGCGCTAAATTCGGCATGTTCAATTCTACAGGCGATTGTTGTCATCTCTACATGTTTTTACTTTTTATAATGTATGATAAGAAAATAATTTGTGTAAAGTAAAATTTAAATATGGCTAAAAAAAATGTCAGTCCGTCCACCAAAAAACTTCTGGCGGGGCTTTCGTGATTGTAAATAACAGCCAGACGTGTATTTTCTACAAAATTATAGTATTATTTATCATGTGACAAATTTTCAAATCCGGGAAAATAAGAGCAAAATTTTTGTAATTCTTACGATTTTCAAGATGCCGCCAGAACAATTTGCCAATTTCATAAATCAGCCAGACTTAATTTTGATTATAGTTTATGACAGTACCAAATAATGGGTTAAATTTTAAGCATGGGAAAATAAGGGCTACGTATTTCAAAAACCGGTCAAATTTTTGCTTCCGCAAATTTTCAGCCAGACTGACTTTCCTTCACTTGGGATGTGCCAGACTGTTATTTCCATTAATAAAATGACTCACTTTAATTAATGTGAAATATTTATGACTGGGAAAATAAGTGGACTTGACTTTTTGGCTCATCTAGTGAACCCATCCGAAAATTTTAGCCAGACACACAAATTGTCGTTTTGTGTCACCATTTGAACAAACTTAATGACATTCACAAACTGGGAAAATAAGAAGATAAAAATCTTCACTGCCTCCCGGACTATAAGTATACTTACTTCAGCTGAATCATCTTTAAAATTAAATTAACTCAATAATTACGTAATGAGTTTAGGGGACTTTGGCAAAACCGAATGCTGCTGTGATGCACGCGTCAGATCATTGATTTTAGCCCTCTAAAAACAATGTTTAGATGTACACAACAAAAATAAATCTCATTTTCATATATGAAGACCCTAGAAGCCAAAGGATACAAATAACATTTTAAAAAAATTGTAGTTATGTACAGAAAAATATAGTAAATGATGCATTTTACTTAAGGCGTAGAAGGGACAATTACACTAAATTCATTTTTATTATTTAATTCTGCGTTAGCTAACACAGAATTAAATGCAATTAATTCCGTGTTAGCTAACCCAGAATTAAATATGGCGGATTTAATTCTGTGTTAGCTAACGCAGAATTAAATATGGGGGATTTAATTCTGTGTTAGCTAACGCAGAATTAAATAATAAAAATTAATTTAGTGGAATTGTCCCTTCTACGCCTTCGTATTTTACTGGGTATTTAAGGGATATAACTGAATTCTAAGCTTATATTATATACATAAAACAACAAACAATTTTGACTTCAAATTACAAGTTTTTTTTACTTTAAACATGATTATCTTAAAACTAAACAAAATGTACTTATACGGTATAAGTTATACCCCTTGGCTTCTAAGGTCCTGCAATATTGTTTAATTATAGTATAATTATAATTATTATACCTGCCCACGATGGTTCTTTTTTCAATAATTTGGAAAAGGTTGCTGCTAGTACTCGATTTTCCGCCTCACGCGCCCTTCTTTTGTTTTTATAAAAAGTTTCTGAATCTTTTTTGTGTTAATTCTAATTATCAAACTACCTTAGCAATGCACGATCGTGATATAATTTTTGTCAATTAATAATTGTCAATTGTCAAAAAGTATAGAAAACTACAGAATATGATTGAAGAAACGAATGAAATAGGGCCCTGTGACGGGGTCAACTTTGGGCCGGAACTACGCCATTTGACCCAGAAGGTCTTTTCGTGCTTTACTCAATTAAGCCAGAACAAAAAGACTCTCTTATTATCCTACTGACATAAATAACTATTATTTAAAATAAAACGTTTGGGTTATCGGAATAAACTTAATAATCAAATGGTCTTTTACCATTTTCCCAGGTTTGACAGAAATTTCATGCTATTGCCATTTGCCCTGTATATCACCCAGAAATCATTATTTTTTTGAACAATAGTGTATATATTTAGTAAAAGAAAATGATCCCGAACACAAATATATATTTCGATAAATATTTAATTTTTTATTTGTGCGATACACACAGATACCTACACAAAGTTAATATTTTTTTCTGTGCAATTTACCTAATAATTCAATTTACATAAATAGCCTGGCTAATATTGTCCTACAAATTACCGAGAAGTAAATACATTTACCGAACACTTAATACCTTTTTATAGAGCCAGATCACGTTTGAAGAAGTATTTTTTACCGAAACCATTACTTAAATAAATTACGATAAATTATAAAGTAGGAAATTTTACATGGCACAAAATTAAAATTATATAATTTAAATTAAATTCCTTTTGTCAAACTTGTATATAAAATGACTTTGTACTCATCAGCACTAATTTAATTAATATGTTTTTTAGATGGAGTTTCAGAGTATGAAAAACAAATAATCCTGGACATGCATAATAAAATGAGACAGTCAGTAGCACTTGGTCATGTAGGAGGACAACCACCTGCGGCGAATATGATGGAAATGGTAAATAAACCTTTATTTTACTACTTCCTAATAGTTTTATGTGCTTTAATTTTTTTTAATGAAAAGATTCTCATCTAAAATTAATATATTTTCATAGAAATGGGATAATGAATTAGCTGGAAAAGCCCAACAATGGGTCGATAATTGCCAAGAAGACCACGATCACAATAGACATGTTTGTAAGTTGTAAAAATAACATATCAAAATTAAAGACACTAAAAATAACTTTCATTTCTTAGCTCGTTTCCATTTCGGACAAAATATCGCCACTACCTGGACTTCAAAAACACCAGATAGTTGGAATGAAATGAGATCCGATTTTCCTTACGCTATTGGAAAATGGTTCGAAGAGGAAAAACACTTTAGATTTGGAGGTGGTCATGGCGGTGGAATTACTGGACATTACACCCAAGTACGTAAAAATAATTAGTGCAATATATGGAGCAAAATTTCCCATACTAAATTATATTACTATAGTATTCTAATCCTGTAAAGGGTTTTGCTTTATTACCTCTAGTTATCAAATTATAGAAGTGCAAAGTTTAGGTACACTTTTTCTCTGACAAACTTTTAAAATAATATTTTATAACATTTTTAAAATTAAATTTTTCATTTTTATTCTTCATTCTATCTAATGAAGTAAGTTATTTTTTTTAAATCCAATAATTTTGCAAATTTTAAATAACTTTTTCATTTTTTCAAAAATTAAGCTAATTATAAAGCTTTAAAACCAAGTTTAATAATGAGATGGAAATTATTTTTCAAAGTTTTCAACTGCTAAAGCGCAGAAGTGTGTTATCTTTCATCTGTCATCAAGCAATACTTTAACAGGTGTCAAACATGAGAGATGACAGATAACACACTCCTGCGCTTTAGCGCATCAAATAAACTGCGCACCACTCAATGTGTCGCGACCAAAAATTTCGTCCTTTTTCAAAACGACATAACTTTTTTCTTTCTTGAACGATTTTATTTTGGTTTGTGATGTCTGCTAGCCCCATTCTCTGGCAATTCATGCTATAGATATGAAGCTCACGGTTCTTTAAGTAAATTTACTACAGGGTGATATGTAAAACAGTGAAAAATTTCAATAACTTCATCCAAGCCCCGTTTGTAAAATAAATATTTTTTTCTCGTTTTTCAAATTTTTCGAATTGGAATCTTAGCAACAAAAATATGATTTTTTTTCAATGGAGTACATTTGTTGCTTTTTTGTAGGCAATACACTCAGCCTTTTTAAGAACAAAAAGATAAGATGGTGAAAGATTGTTTCTTGAATAATTCTGAACAAGCGACAAGCAACAAACTTCCATTATTTTCAGAACCTAAGCAAAGACCACTTTTTCAAAATTACATTTCCGGTGGCCAATTCATTATATTAATATCATGGTCCCTTAAATACTCATTTACGATATTAGCGCGATGCGGACGGAATTGTCGTCCACAAACACCAAATTATTGGCATTTAATTTTCATCATTTGATCTTTGATTTGATCATTCAGTGACATGATAATAACGTACTAAAAATGCAAAACACAGTAAAAAAAACAGTAAAATCCAGCAATCAGATTTTATTGAGACATTTAACATCCAGGAATTGGTTTCGAATTTTGATTCTTGGTGATTTTGATTTTATCTGAAACCTAAATTTGACAACTGAATCACAATCAGGTCAAAATTAAAAAGAAAACATGTCACGAACGTAAATATCGATTCAGGTTTAGTTTTCGCAAATTTTCTCCAAAATGTCATTTTGAAAAAGTGGTCTTTGCTTAGGTTCCTCTGAAATTAATGGATTTTTTGTTGCTTGTCGCTTGTTCAGAATTATTGAAGGAACAATCTTTCACCATCTTACCTTTTTTATCTTAATAAGGCTCAATTTATTTCCTACAAAAAAGCATCAATTGTACTCTTTAAAAAAAAATCATATTTTTGTTGATAAGATTCCAATACGAAAAATTTAAAAAACTTTTCAAGATAAGACATAATACTTTATTATTTTAAAGTAAAAACGAGAAAAAAATATTTTTTTTACAAACGGGGCTTGGATGAAGTTATTGAAATTTTTCGTTTACATATCACCCTGTAGAAAATTTACTTGAAGAACCGTGAGCTTCATATCTAAAGCATGAATTTTCAGAGAATGGGGCTAGCAGACATCACAAACCAAAATAAAATCGTTCAAGAAAGAAAAAAGTTATGTCGTTTTGAAAAAGGACGAAATTTTTGGTCGCGACACATTGACTGGTGCGCAGTTTAGTTAAAAATCTCTAAAGCAATTTCCATTCCATTATTAAGGTATCTCTATTTGAAGAGAATGATAAATAAATAACAGTAGGTCGTGACAGCAAATTCAGCGGTGCAATATATATGTAGTAAAAATAAAACGTATTTTAATTAACAAATTACTACTTTAAAGTATACTACATAGTATAATAATTATTACAAATTGAAGTATCATTAAAAATCAAAAACATAAAAAAGTAAATAAGTAACAAAATAAATTGTTAATTTGTGGTTATAAAGCCTCATTTATAGATTGCCCGTAAAAGATAAACAATACGAAAATCGTAGTGCCATTTATAGATCCCCGTACGGGAATATATAATGGATTAATCGATCTAAATCAATAATTTAACGTTGTTTTGTAAATTTTAAAATTTCATAAATTAATTACTATTTTAGATGATGTGGGCCACAACCAATAAAATAGGATGTGGGTATGCCTTTTACTACGACCCATCGAAAGGTTACACCAAAAATTATGTGTGCAACTATGGACCAGGGTAAGTTAAATAAAGCCCTTCAAAATCCTACTTATTTTGGCTGTAATAAACTGCGCACCACTCAATGTGTCGCGACCAAAAAGTTCGTCCTTTTTTAAAACGACACTTTTTTGTTTGAGATTTTTCCTTGAATAATTCTGAACAAGCGATAAGCAACAAACTTCCATTATTTTCAGAGGGGCCTAAGCAAATACCACTTTTACAAAATGACATTTTGGGGAAAATTTGTGAAAACTAAACCTAAACCGATATTTACGTTCGTGACTTGTTTTCTTTATAATTTTGACCTCCTGATTGTGATTCAGTTGTCAAATTTAAGTTTCAGATAAAACCAAAATCACCAAGGATCAAAATTCGAAAACAATTCCCGGCTGTTAAGTGTCCTGGCGTGTTTCTTGCATATTTATGATTAAAATGTCATTTGGGAATTTATTTTTTGGGCGAAATTACAGCAATTTGTTAGAGTGGTTAGGATAATGTTACATAAATTACATTTACATTGCGCACTAGTGATAACTTATAGGGGGTAATTACACAAGTGCTTAAAAATTATCGATAATTTTGCTTAAAAGCATATTGCCTAAAAAATGCATGAGTTCATTTTCATATTTTGGAAAGAGCCCGACACCGAAGGTGGAGGGCTCTTTCCTCAAAATATGAAAATGACCGAGGGCAATATGCTTGAATGCAAAATTATCTGATTAGCTTTATGCACGAGTGTAATTAGATATTATATATAATTTTAGATAATTACACTAATAAACTAATTAAATCAAAGAATACCATTTTCAAACATTTTAACACTATTTTTCACATTTTCATTAATTGATTCAAATGATTCTTTACCAAAACTTGACATATTAAATAACTGTCACATTAAAATGAAAACTGACGTTATTTTTATTAATTGCCATGGATACGTGGATACAATGGAATTATATAATTATTATATTATCGATTCCTAGTAGACAATTATCGCTGTAATCAACCGATAATTGTCTTGTAGGCATATATAAGAGGGTAATTATCACTGATAAGTACCTACTTTATTGGTATACCAATTATAATATTATAATAAAGTTAAATAAAAATATTTTGGAAAATTTTATGCGAAGATATAATCATAATAAAAACTACAACATTCAACAGAAAAATGTAACAATAATAACTTTCAATATTTCGTTGGTCCTCCCCTAACCCGTAATAATTCGTTAACCCTCCTTCTAAATTCCTGGGGTATCCCATTATTCCTGAATAGCATTTACCAATTCATCCACATTTTCCATGCGTCCTCCCTCTCTTTCATCTTCAGTTTCATCCTGCTCCACACATGCTCAGTAGGATTTATATCCAGAAACAAAGGTGGCCAATTCATTCTCTCAAGATGGTGGTCCCTTAAATACTCATTTACGATATTGGCGCGGTGCGGACGGGCATTGTTGTCCCCCAACACCAATTATTGGCAACATTTCGAGCATAAGGGACCACGATATCACTAACAACCAAATCTCTATATCTCTCAGCATTCACTCTTTCCATTCATCGCAATTCCACCCCAAACAGTCACTCCTCCACCTCCAAAAGCCACCCTTGGCTCCCGTTTCGTGCAATCTTATGCGAACCGTTGGTTTGGAGATGTTAATTCCCGTAGCTGCAGCAAAGTTTGGCATTGGTACTTTAATTATTTAAAGGAAGAATGGAAGTAACCTGGGTAAGATAGGGGTAGGTATGTAGGTAGGTAGGTATAAATTATTCAATAAAACACAAGCAAACTGAAAAAATCAAGAAAATCCCTCATAATGCGTTTTAAATGTTTTTCAAGAACTAATTTTCATTTGATCCTCGATTTTATCATTCAGCGACATGTTAATAACGTACTAAAGATGCAAAACACAGTAAAAAATAGTAAATATATAGCAATCGTATTTTATTGAGACATTTAACAGCCGGGAATTGTTTTCCGAATCTTGATTCTTGGTGGTTTGCTTTTATCTGAACCTTAAATTTGACAACTGAATCACAATCAGGAGGTCAAAATTATGAAGAAAACATGTCACGAACGTAAATATCGGTTTAGGTACAGTTTTCTCAAATTTCCACCAAAATGTTATTTTGAAAAAGTGGTATTTGCTTAGGCCCTCTGAAAATAATGGAAGTGTGTTACTTGTCGCTTGTTCAGAATTATTTAAGGAACATTCTTTCACCATCTTATCTTCTTGTTCCTAAAAAGACTAAATGTATTGCCTACAAAAAAGCCTTAAATGTACTCTTTTGAAGAAAAAATCATATTTTCGTTGCTAAGATTCCAATTTGAAAAATTTGAAAAACGCTACAAGGTAAAAACTAAATTATATTTTTACAAACGGGGATGAAGTTATTAAAATTTTTCACCGTTTAACATATCACCCTGTAGGAAATTTACTTGAAGAACCGTGAGCTTTATATCTATAGCATGAATTGCCAGAGGATGAGGCTAGCAGACAAAATATCAGACCAAAATAAAATAGTTCAAGGAACAAAAAAGTTATGTCATTTTGAAAAAGAACGAACTTTTTGGTCGCGACACATTGAGTGGTGCGCAGTTTAGTTGTTCAAACAAGGTTTTTTTCATAGATGTTCTTACCGATTATTTATAAAGTACTTATGATTTATTTATAGGGGCAATGTAATTGGACGTTCACCTTACCAAAAGGGTAACCCAAAATGCCTGGACTTTGGACTTCAACAATCACACCTATATTTAGGGCTTTGCAGTAAGTTTGATAGTTTTAGATCCAAGATTAAAATGCAATATGATAACACTGTTATCAGATTTATTTTTATAATACGATTTTTATAAAACCTAATCCGCGGATTAATTCACCTAACCTTTTAGGAGATAAATGCCAAAACGTACAAATTTAAATTTATGTGTATAAAATTAATTAAAAAGGTAATTTGTATACCTAATCAGCAAACATTTTGTCATTGGGATATTTACTATAATTTGGTTTTAAATAGATAATAACGTATACCAAATACTACACTTAAATCTTTATATATTATTTTATCGTTTTGTATTTATATATTTATTCTAAAAAATAAAAGTATAGTTTTTAACGTTAATTTTTCTAATAATAATATTTATGTCTTTATTTTTTTAATTTTGTTTCAGGCAAACAATCAAGCTTTCTGTATGATGTACCAAGTTATTCCCATATTAATCATATTAATCCTATTACTCAAAGTCCAACTTATTCCCATATTAACCATATTAATCCTATTCATCAAAGTGCGAAATATACCTTCGACAATCACTTCGATGGATTCCTCTATTAAGTAAAATGGAATTAATTTAATTTTAAATTTTAAGACAAGACTGGATTAGTATAAGAATTAGAGTAGTAAAAGGCTGAATCCAAAATATCAAATTTATGAGGCTCTATTTTATTTTTAATGAATATTGTTAAATTGTTATGACCCATGGCCGGCTCCAGAGCGTGTAGAGGCGCCAAATACCATTTTTCACCCATGTATTTTAAAATATACGGCAAAAAAACCTTCTTAACTTTGGTCCATGTTAACTATATGCGATATATAGTTGGGACGCAACAATTATTTTGGAGCCGGCCCTGATATGACCCCCTTATTGGGTTGAACTTAGGGATTAAATAATTAAATAAAGTATAAGTATAGATTATAGATTTCCTAAATACAGTTGGAATCATTAAACTGTAATTGAGGCGTTGATTTAAAAAACAACATAAGTCCAAAAATTTAGTTTTGACAAAATCGAAAAAAAAAGTTTACCCATGGTAAACGTTATTCTTTAAATATTCATATATATATATATATATATATATATATATATATATATATATATATATATATATATATATATATATATATATATATATATATATATATATATATATATATATATATATATATTACATTTTTTTGAAAACATTTGCAGCATACAACACAGTCGAAAACGATGAATACACTTAATTAGTAAAAAAGCAATATGCCTTGTTTGTTTATTTCCAACAAAAAACATATTGTGTTTGTATTGGACACCTGTTCTTTTTACTAGAAACGTCGCGAATATATCTTGTTTTTACCTTAATAAATCTATTTATGCCATCGGATAGTAGAGTTTACTATATTTCACTGATATCTCGATTTTGAAAATTTTGGACTTAAGCTATTTTTTAAATCAACGCCTTATTTTTATATTATTCATATATATGTAAAACCATGGTTGCAATCATTGCAATCAATTCGGAAAGTTGTATTACAATAGCCAACGATTAATTTTATAGTCGATTTATTTTTTGACATGTTTACATTTATATAACAAATATATGCATCTTAGCCATAGAAATAATACGTATAAGTATTATTTCTATGATCTTAGCCCTTCACGATTATACATTCTTTGAATGTAAACACTAGTTAAAGGAAAATATAATACATATTACGTTTATATTAATATGTTTATGTTTATTTTTGTTAATAAAAAATATAACGCAAAACTTACGTGTATTAATTCTATAGCAGCAAATCCTAGCCACTTCTTTTGTTAGGCCAGCAATGGCATGTTAACATTAAAACAACCATTCTGGCTAGAGTAGCAAATAATAATTTGACATTTTTACACCGATGTTGTAAAACTGGTCCCCAAATGTTTACAAGTACAGCATCATGTAAAAAGCAAAGCTACACGGAGAAAACTGATTAGGAATGATCACAGGCCCTAGTAGCAATGGAATAGGACAAGATTCTCCGGCAAGATACTTGGAGAAGCACTTTATACACAATTTGACAATTCTTGATCAATTGACCACTTGACCAAGATTCTTTATCCAGACTGGCTCCAGACTTGGGCCAGTCTTTGACCAAAATTTGACCAGATTCTTGGCCCAGAGTCTTGAGATAGACTTACCCAAGTGGTTCTCAATTATAAGTAGTCAATAAGTTTGAAAACGTCAGTTCTTTACAGTTTAGCGTTGACAAATTCTGGACACAGTCTGGCCCAAGTCTTGCCCAATGATTTTGATCAAGAATCTGGACCAATTCTTGTACAATTTTTTATCAACAATTTGTTCCAAGTATCGATACTCAAGATCTTGACCCATGCTGGCACAAGGCTTTTCCCAAATTGCTACTAGGGGGATACGCCTGAACCACTTTTCAATCAAAAGTCGAGCACATAAATTTTTTCTAGCTTTAATGTTTTATAGGCCTAAACTAAATAGTTAACAAAAAAAATAAAATAATCCTTAGAGCTGTTTTGAATAAAAATCCAAAGAGGTGAAAATATAAGCAAACCATTGGGAATAATATAAAAAAATGGTTACTTTGTAAGATGTAATAAAAATACAAATGCAGTTGTAAACTTTTTTAATATATTATACTTTTTAAACAAAAATAACCAATTAAAAACTAAAACTAATACTAGATTAAACAAGTTATATGTGATTGCTGTTATATTCCGACAGACTATAAAAGTCTGTTTGCGTAAAGTTCATTACTTCTGCTAACTTTATATTTAGACCCAATCTGAACAAAATTATGGTGATAAGATAGATTCCACAGCTTGCTCACTATACTGCCCCAAACCAGATTTTCTGTTTTCACAAAATTGCTGGACATGAAAAAAGACCGCATTTACTTTCAGAGTTACTGGAATATTCAGTGCCATGTACGTTCTTTTAAATTAAATGAAATACGTTGTAGATATTCTTGACCAAGGCTTTCGCCAAAACAGCAATCGGCAACTTTTGCAAAACACCAGAATATGTGTACCTACATATTTAAGACAGCCCATGCAGCATACTGATTTTAAAATGAAAATTTTTTTAGAAGATTTTGCCTTTAAATGAAGGGCCTCTGTGAGTAAAATATCTCTAAATATTACAACCCAGGTAGCAAACTGACGCTATAATGTCGTCATTATTAGGGCATTTTTCGTCGAGGACGTCAAGTCACCTATTATTCACGTTATATTAACGTCAAGTTTTTGACTAATTTGTCACGTCTTTTTTTGACGTTGATCATACCTAACAATAATGTCAAAATTTAACCAATAACTTTTTACGTATATTTTAAAACCAAACTAAAAAGAACAAACTGTTAAAAAAGTTTACTTTTCCTACTATCATATTAGAGACGGTAGTTATGTTTTAATATTTTTAAACTTAGATACTTTACTGGTTTGCCGCCACAATTGGTTGTCCTGTTTAGTAATGCGCATGCGGTTTTTTTATTAATCGATCAAGCAGTGTTGCCGTTTGCGTGTATTTTACTTAAAGGTCGGATATTTTCATCTTGTTTGCGAATAAAATATTAAACGGGTAAGGCGGGTATTACGCAAATTTCGATTAAAATACCAAATAAAGAAATTTTCAGTAAATAATATATACCCTGGTACTAAATATTATTTAGTAAATATACATAATTATTATCATGCGTGTTATAATTCTTTTTGATTACCTAATTCAAAATTTAATTTAGAATAGGGCGAATGCGCTATAAAATTAAAATAAAAGATAACTAGGTATTTTTTTTATTTTTGCAGTAAAATCGGGTATTTTGTAATTCATCTGGCAACGGTTATTCTCGTCCTTTGTGTCAGTTGTGAGTTTTTGAGCGCCATTTCAGGTTTAATAAACGCAATTAAGTTGTATAAAAGGAAATTTATGCAGATAGTAGTATAGGTTATGGGTTTTGCACGTTTTTACTTTACAGCTATTTTATTTTGTAATTATTACTAAAATTCTAAAACTAGAATTTAAAGAAGAAGCATATAAATTGTGCTTGGCTTAGGTACTCCTAGGAAACAAGAGGTTTTTTTGGCCACCATTTAAATCTACAAATCAGTGGAGATTACATGACCGCTGCTCCTTTAATGCATGCATGCTCTGTAAAATAATATATTTTTTTAATGTTTGTCCATTTTTACAAATTAAAATAGATAAACGATAATTTTAAATAATTTTTAAGCTTTATATTAATTTTTTTAACCAAAGAATTATTGTTTAGGTTGTTTAAACTAAGTGTTAATTTTTTTGGAATTGTTTTTTTATAACATAAGTAAACAGTAATTGTTAATTTTTTTTTAAGTTTTATAATAAATGTTATAAACAAAAAATATGTTTTTTATTAATCATTTTTTTCAATTTTAATTGAATAAGACGTCACTTATTAGTATATATATATATGTTTGAGGTCTTACACCTCTGTCAGATGGGTATACTGTATGCGAGATTTGCGTATCCAAAATACAACAAATACATACATTTAAATATATGAATTTATTGTATCTTTAATATGTAAATCTCGCATGCAGTTTTGCTTTCTGAAAGGGGTCTTAAACTGGTAACATTATGACGTTCAGTGACGTTGTGAATACACGTCGTTCGACGTCTTAAAATTACGTATATCGACGTCCTGAAATGACGTCTGTGGGCTGTGACATATTCACGTCATAATTTCGTCATATCGACGTTAATTTTTGGTAAGTATGACGTAAATTTTGACAAAAATAGGAGGTTTTATTCACGTCACTCCGCTACCTGGGTAGCTTTAATCCATTTATCTGCATCCTCTGAGAAATTTAGCATCATATGTTTCACGAATGTATTAACAACGCCCAACAATAAATGTAATTCAAGAGGGGAATATACAACTAAAAATAGAGTGTCATAGGCTTCTCCTGCAAGAAGAGGAGGATTAAGAAAGTTCATATAATTATTTGCTTCATCTGTTAATACGATGTTAATACTCTCGTGAAACATATGATGCTAAATTTCTCAGAGGATGCAGATAAATCTATTAAAGCTTGTAATATTCAGAGGGATCTTATTCACAGAGGCCCTTTATTCAAAGGCAATTTATGCAACAATCTTCTAAAAAATTTGACATTTTAAGATCATTTGCTGCATGATCAAGAATATGTACAAAGTGTTTCAGAATTTAAAAGAACGTATATGACACTGAATATTCCAGTAACTCGAAAAGTACATGCAGTCTTTTTTCGTGTCCGGCAATTTTGTGAAAAAAAAAATCTGGTTTGGGACTTTATAGTGAGCAAGCTGTGGAATCTCTTCACCATGATTTTGCTCAGATTTTGTCTAAATATAAAGTTAGCAGAAATAATGAACTTTACGCAAACAGACTTTTAAAAGCTGTCAGGGAATATAACAGCAATTACATATAACTTATTTAATCTAGTATTAATTTTTAGTTTTATATGTATTTATAGTATGCTTAAATATTAAACATTAGAAAAATTCACTATTGCATTTGTATTTATATTACATCTAACAAAGTAACCATTATTCTATATTATTCGAAACTATTAGGATCCTAATAGTTTGCTTATATTTTCACCTCTTTGGATTTTTATTAAAAACGGCTCCAAGGATTATTTTAATTTTTTTGTTAACTATTTAGTTAAGGCCTCTAAAACATATTAAAGCAAGAAAAAATTTAGGTGATCGACTTTTGATTTAAAAGTTGATCAGGCGTACCGTGATCATTAAACATTTAAGTAAATTAGGTATTTTAGCATTTGTGTTTAGAAACAGTTTACCAAGAAATAATTGCCACTGTTGAATCGTCCATGATAAAATACCCTTAGCAGAAATAAAAAAAAAGACGTTATGAAACGGTAATTATTTTATCTAAACCCTAAAATGCAGTGTTCTCTAACAATTGCGGCTAAGCCCAAAAATAACAATTTAAATTAATAATATAATTTTTTTTAAAAACTTATCACGGACGATC